CTTTATATATATATATATATATATATATATATATATATATATATATATATATATATATATATATATATATATATATATATATATATATAAAGGATGCTCAAGAACCCGACCAAGCACACGGTCAGAGAAGGCGTGCCCCATTTGACTTGTTCTTCCACCACAACTCACTCCATCCACACACAATGCATCCTTTCTTCTTTTCCTCTTACTTTGGTATTGTTGACACACCACTACACTTGCATGTTCTGCACATCACATGAACGCACTCTTTTTTATCCCATTTAAATAGAGATGACAAATTCGTTGGTCATGTTGTGTTCGGGTTACTTTGGATTCGAATTAATTTAGATTTGGGTTGAGAACTATATGTTTATGAATAGTGTTTTGATTTCGAATTGATCCAACGGGTTATGACTTTGATATTTAAAATTTTTAGATTCATATTAACAGATGCATTTTTCATTAAATAAAATTAAAATATCAAAAAGTATGTGTTAAAATATCAAAAAGTATGTGATCTTTAGGTATTTAAATCAAAATAAAGAAGTAAAAATGCATAATTTTTGGAAAAGTAGTAAGATAGTTATGCAATATACTTAAAGTTTTGTCCAAAATCGTAAATTTATAAACTAAAAACAAGTAGTAAGAAAAAAATATAATTATAACCTTGTTTTTATAACATTATATTAAATAGTAAAGTATATAATTTAGAAAAATTCTTACATTAGCAGGTTGATCAGGTCGGTTCGGTCAGATTTGACCCATTTTTAGCTGGTCATTTCGGGTTTGGTCAACTTCGGGTTTGATCAACAAAATCTTTGTTCAAAATCCAATGCTTTCGGGTTGGTTTCGGGTCAAAAATAGGCCGAGTCATTTTTTGTCAGGTCTACATTTATACCTCGGTTTCGTGCTAGAGTATTTATTTGGTTTCGAATTATGTTTTAAAATATTTCCAAAATATCTAATTACCGAAATAATATATTATATAAATTGTATTTAACTATAAATGAAACATCGAACTTGATTCATTGCAAAAATCAAAGCTTGACAAATACTCAAAGGCGAAGAGAAAAGAGTATTTTCCTTTCTTTTCATACTCCAAAACTGATGAACTCCAACATAATTAATTATTTTCATCCCAGAGTATTCGTCCTTTTTATATTAATACAAAAACACTTCATTAGTTTTATCATGCAATAAATTTTTATAAAATTATACCTCCTCCGGTTCTAAAACCTTTTTTGTTTTGAGTTTTTAAAGTCAAACAGTGACACACTTTGATCAAAGATTGTGAGAAAAATATATTTACTTATAATATAAGTTCAATATAATTGGATTAATCTTAGGATATAGTTTTGATATATCAAATTTTTATATCATTTATTTATTAAGATTATGTTTAATTTATGGTAAAAAAGTGTCAATACTTGACTAAAAAAAGTCAAAACAGGAAAAAGTTTTAGGACCGGAGAGAGTATTATTGTAGTAATATGCAAGATCATTTTAGTTAATTAACAATCAAAATTGTTCCAGTTTGACAGGAAAAAATCAAACTGGATAAATAGTGTGAGGACTCATGTAGAATTTGGTCATTGGGGAGATATCAAACAAGGGCAACAAGGTTCGTTGATTCTGCGGGGGTTCCAAGACATTGCAAGGCACCTTCTATGACTAGGCTCTCTGGAGTCTGGAGGCAGCAGGAAAAGGATTGGGTGTCTTTCAGTGTGACAAAATTTGGAGAAGTGATTTTGGAGTCATGAAACTCATCAAGTCCAAGTCTCCAAGAGCATATATATATTAGTTCATGCTTCATAATTCTGATTGTCATTATGTTCAGAATTATTTGCTGAAGAATCACTACATACAATGGGAAGTTGGGAACAAGAAAAAGAAAAGAAAGACTCTTTTTAGTACTATAATTCCTTTCAATCCAAAAGTTCTAAACAAACCAATTCATTCACAAGTTTCTAGTTTTGATCCCTCAGAAACATTAGCTGCATTATAAATGACAAATTTGAATGTAGTGGAAACATGCACTATATTCTACTACTTGTACGATCGTATTCAAATGTTAATGTGGAATTGCAGACGCTAGAAACTACGGTTAAATGCGTAATGATCCTTCGGAACAAATGAATACTTATTGGGTATTGTACCATAGTATATCATCTGCATTCTTCAAAATTGCTCACTAACTTTCTTTGCCAATGCATCTCTAATGGTAGATGCAAATGCCATCCTTTGAGTGAAAATCTCCTCCACACCATTGTTCTCTTCAAGAGGTGGCTGTGAGCTCTGACAATGAATCCAAGAACACTCGTCGAGTTCATCAAAGAAAGCAGAGAAATCCTCCCTCATAAGCAGCATATTATGTAGTATTGAAGAGGCACCAATATATGCAACTGCCACCTTATCTTCCACCTCAATTGATCTATTCAACACACCCCATTTCCTTAGGCTTGCAATGGCTTTAAGGGCTGATAAGAGCAAGATGCGATGAGCACTGTTGAACTTTTCCACATTCGCCCCCGGCAAAGAATTACAAGTGAAAGGTATCATTAGCCATGGAAGCAAAGGGTAGGCTCCTTCTCCTGCAAAGAACTGGGGTATATCCACGCCATTTATACACACCGGCTGCGAATTCAACAATGCCCCCTTTTCTATATCTTTGTATAGAGTTGAGGATTTTAGGATTTGGGAATTGGTTTTTTGGCCGTGAAAACCAGCTATGATGCTTAGAATTCTTGAAGATGAGTCGACTATAATTTGGGCTGCTATGGTTTCTTCTCCACCTCCTTTCTTTCCAAAGTTTCTTCTGATCTTGAACCTGGCGCACTGGATTGCTCCGCAACAATTGGGAATTCCGGTGAGGGAATAGAACTGAGAAGACACGGACCCAAGCTCGTTTGGGCTTGGGAACCCGACCCAGAATCGGAAATTTGTGCAGAGAACCCGACAGAGCTGCTTGACGCAAAATTGGGATACCGAGATGGGAACACGGAATTGATCGGATATCTCCGGGAAATCCGCGCCGCTGGCGAGCCGAAAGAGGCCGATACCGAGTCTAGTCTCTGCAGAGAGGTTAAGAGGCGAGTCGACCGGGTCGCGGCATTCCAGAAGCGGCTCTAGCAGACCGCAGAGCCACTCGAAAGTCGAGGAATTCATGTTGAAGAACTGCTTGAAGGAGTCCGGGTTCCGGCGTTTGACCGAGTCTCCTCGGAGGAGTCGAGCGATCGTCGATTCCGGGTCACCCACGTCGGCTGGCTCGACCCGCCTGCGTTTTCTGAGGAACGAAAGGAGGGAGAGGGTGGCGGAAATTTCGGAGGTGGATAGAAGATGGAGGAGGAGATCAGGGAAGATGACGTCGCGTGGGTCGGGCGTCGGAGTCCCATTTCCGGTGCAATCGTCGAGGGGAAGAGGGTTCGACGTCGGAGGGAAAAGGATGAGAAGCAGAGAGAGGAGATCGGCGATAAAGGAAGAGAGCAGCGCAGCCAAACGTCGGCGGCGCTGCCGTTGAGGATCCATAGGTCGGCCCACCTGTCAATATCTGCACGCGAATCAGACAACCCCTCCTTGGTTGACACGAGGAGGACGGTAAATGGAGGACAATGCTACACTTACAAAAATTATACCACATTTGTACCCTACAGTTATATACTAATATTTTGATGGTTTACACCGACATAAGTGTTGGTGTATTAATAAAAATTAACACGGACACAAAGTGTTGGTGCATTAACAAAAATTAGTTTTACACCAACACAAAATGTTGGTACAAACCTGCGGTGTAAATTCTATGGTGAATCAAAGTCTACCATAGACTTATATATGAGGCAAATAAGCAAATGATAATTATCTTGATAAGTATTTATTTTAATAAAAAATTAATATATAAAAAATGATTTTTATGTGAGAAGTGTTGAATAATTTAGTTATTTTAGTTAATTCTGATCATTTGAATAAGTCTTTATTTGAATTAGTGTTTACTCTTTAACAACCTCCTAGTTTTGAGGTCTCTTAGAGTTAGTGGTATTGTGGTGTTCATGATCCTATTATTTAGGATATTTTAGACAATAAATTCAACTTTATGTTTATTGATATTGTATCAACAAAAATTGAAGCAATGAAGTCTACGTTCCTTCTTCCCGTAAAAGAACTCCATTGCCTCTTCCACGTGACTTTCCATTCCTTTGACCAGACTCACCTATTGAAAATTGTGATTGAAGAGCATGTTCAATTGGTTTGTTAACTTTGTCAACCTTCCTTTCATTCATTCTTTGTTCATGTGCTCGCAAGGAGCTTGACAATAACCGTCATTGTCGATGTGTCATTTCCTTCATCAATCGCTGCAACGATATGCTCAAACCTAGGTGTTAAAGACTGTAAAATCTAATCTACCTTTTTCTGTTTGGTTTAAGCCTCTCCATTGGACTTCATCTGATTTGCCAACACGAGGACGCTATTGATATAAGTGTCAATAGTTTCTGTTGTCTCCAACTGCAGTTCATAATGGCACCTCAATGTTTGAAGGCACACTTTCTTAATCTTGTCATCACCTTTGTATGATGCTCACAGAATGCTCCATGCTTCATTCGCAGTAGTAGCTCCCTCAATCTGCTCAAATGTTTCATCATTCATTCCTTGGTGAATGAAATATAATGCCTTGTTGTCCTTCTTCTTCAGGTCATGATGAGCTGCTCATTGCCTCTCAGTTTCATTTTCAGCCAATTCAGTCATTCCATCATTCACGACATCTGACAGGTCGTGATATAGTCGAACAAAACTTTCATTTGAACACTCCAATGTTTATAATTCTTCCCATCTTTTTCAAGGATTGGGAATTATAGTTGCGTGGTATTCATGATAACAGACCATTTAGGTTCTGATACCAATTTGAAGAACTGACACTTAAGAAGAAATATGACAAAATACTGAACAATGTAAAGGCAACGTATTGGAAATCACTCTAGCAAAGGTCATGGTGGTTACAAGAGTGGAGGTGTTGATCATAACAGCTCCTAGACAAGCTTCTCTTGTCAGAGAGGACGTGGTCGTGGATGAAACAAAAAATCAAGCGTGGACTATTTCAATTGTCACAAGCGTGGTCATTTCGCCAATGAGTGCAGATCAAGAGGTGAGACTCATGCTGCCAACTATGTCCAAGAAGTTAGTAATGACGAGCAAGTTGAAAGGGATCACGCGACATTAATGGTATCTTCCTCAAATGAAACTCTAAATCCCCAAACTTCATATTTAGACACAGGCTGCACAAATCATATTTGTGGTCAGAAGGAGTTGTTTGCAGACTTGGATAAATCATTTCCCACAAGGGTGAAATTCGGTGATGGACGGTTTGCTCTAGTGATGGGAAAGGGAGGAATTTTAATCACTTTGTAAAATGGTGATCACATGTACATTTCAAATGTCTTTTCTGTTCCTTATATGAAGAGTAATCTATTGAGTATGGAACAATTGGCTGAAAAGGGATACTCGAAATCAACTCTTTATCTTTGATAAACAAGGTAATTTAATTCTTAAATCCTTTTTATCAAAAAAGTGTATGTTTCTCATGGATATAAATAGTGATGAATTCAAGTGTTTGAGTGCTATGGTAAATGATGAGTCGTGACTATGACATCTTCAGTTTAGACACTTAATTTTCCAAAGTTTGGAAAATATTGCCAAATTTAATCTACTGAAAGGTTTGCTGCATATTCATCATACTGATCAATTATATGAAGCATGTATTCTTGGAATGAATAATGGGTTGCCATTTGTGAAAGAGTCTTCGCGAGCTAAATTCCTTTTAGACCTTTTTCAAACTGACATTCTCCGTCCGATGAATGCCATGTCAATTGGAGGTAACAAACACTCCCTTACATTTATTGATGATTTTTCAAGGAAAACATGGATATATTTGTTGAAGAGGAAGGATAAGGTGTTTGATTTCTTTACGGAATTTAAAGCATTTTTTGAGAGGCAAAGTGGAAAATTGATCAAGATGATGTGTAGTGAAGGTCGAGCTGAGTACAAGTTTGATGAGTTCAAGAAACATTGTGAGAAACTTGGCTTGCAACATAATATAACCTTTTGTCCTGGTGGAATTCTCCAGCCTTATGGCAAGTTTTCTTGTAGTCTGTGCAGAATAGGGGGACCTGCTCATAGTGAACTGGCTTCCTGAGGCCTGTGCCGCCATTGTCAAGGAAGAATTCTGAGGGGAGGTCGCCGGAAACATCAAGTTCCACACAGAACCTTGCAACTGAAGACCTTGTTTTAGAGGAGGTTGTTGCATCCAGCACGAGGGGTTTTCCAGAGATTTTCGTTATGGGACAGGGAGGTGTTCTAGTGAAATCCAAATGGAAAAGATTGGACTCTCTTCACCACAATGGAAATCAGGACTCCACTTGAACACATGCATGGGGCAACGATGGATTTGCAATAGACGCTTTGAAAAACATCGCTGGTAGTCTTCTGCGTTGCTGAAAGTGAGGAGAATATGGGATGCAGCCAAGACCCCTACTAAATAGCTGTGTTTGAATCTAATTCGTTCCATAACTTGCTTAATAACTGGGATAGGGGGCCTGGACTTTGAGACTCTTCCAACTAGGGAGAACTCATAAGGAGCAGAGAGGGCTTTAACCTCTGTCAGTGTGAATGAGATAACTGGAAAGACTTTGTGCTTGGTAATGGGCCTCGAGCTGATAGAAGGCTGGGGTATAAGGTGAGGATCCAATGACATCAACGAATGAGCACTTGACACCGTGTCTTGGTGGGGGAATAGAAGAGGACGGAGGTAAGGGAGTGAGACCTTCAACCTTGTTTTTGGTGAAGCGCTTGGAGTGGCTGCTGTTGCTGACAAGGTTTTTTTTTGGGGGGGGGGGGGGAGAATGATTGGAAGAAGGGTGGCCATGGCCACCACCGGTGGAGGGTGGCGGAGGAGGGGCAGGAGGAGGAAAGATTGACTCCAGTGAGATGACATCTTACGGTGAGATGACATGATTCAGTGAGATGACGCAAAGCTTACCACATTACACTGCAAAGCTTACCAATGACCAATGTAAAGCTCACCTCGAACTAAAGCAAAGCTCACTACTTTGAACACCAAAACTCAATTTTTTTTTTAATTTGGAAAATTAAAAAAAATAATTAAAAATAAAATAGCAACACCGGTCAACCACCGGTCAGCAGCGGCGGCGCGACGAAGACCGGCGGCGGTGGTCGGCGGCCGGCGGTGGCCGGTGATGGTCAACGATTAATGGTCAAAGTCTAGTCAGCACCCTTCCTTTGATTTTTTTTTCAAAAAAAATTCAAAGTGTTGAAAAAATATGGTGAGCTTTGACTAACAGTTTGGTGAACTTTGTAATTGTCTTTGGTGAGCTTTGCAGTGGCCAGTGGTGAGCTTTGCGTCATTTGACCGAAGCATGTCATCTCACCGTAAGGTGTCATCCCTCCGCCGCCGGCCACTGCAAAGTGACTCCAGTGAGATGACACCTTACGGTAAGATGA